GGGCATTCCTAAGTTATATCTCGAATTTCGTTGCATCGAAGAAGTACCAACCCCATTCATGTTAAGCGAAAACCCAGGTGGTCTTACATTCATATACGGCCCAACATTTGTTGTTATAGGGTTTCCCATAGTTTGCATACTGTTTAGGGCCACCGTACTAGATCCTACTTGGGTATTTGATAAAGTGCCTGAATTTTGTTCATTACTCACGGGTACCGACATACTTACAGTTGTCGATACTACAGGTGTATTCCCATTATGACTTTGCCCCCCAGTATTTGGTGGGTGTGACCCATTTAATCCCTCACTGTTACTCTGGTTACTTGATGAACTCTGACTCATGACTCTCCCACTCCTTAATCTCATACACTCTTGAACTAACCAATTTTGTGTTACTCAACACAAGAACCCCTACCTGGCGCGCCAATTTGTTTCTGGTGGAATTTCGATCGATTTCGATTCTAAAGGGGTTTTGGTCCTAATCAAAATCCTCCCACGTAAGTTCTTTTTACTTAGGCTAGCAATTTGACTTTCAATCGAAAACGTGTATAAGAATCGGAAGTTACAGGATATCAAAAAATGCTATTTTTTATATTTAAAATACCGAACACAGTAAAAAATATCGAATCGAGAAACAGAATATTAAATTGCGAGGAAATGTAAAGTGCGACAACCCCAAATTTACATTAATGGTAAATGACAAGAAATCGAAAACCATGCAAATATAAATGACAGGAAATCGAGATTGCAAGAAAAGTAAATGACAAGAAATCGAGATTGCAGAAATTTAAACTCTCATCGAATTGAAATGACCAGGAATCGAAAATACAGAAACATAAAACTGTTGAATTTAAGTTGCATCAAAGTAAGTTACCAAGGAAAATACAGAAAGCGGTAAATGTACTCGGTGAGTAAGGAAATCCAGATTGCCAGAAGCTTCATGGTGTTCGTCGTTTCTCCGGTAGACTTTTCACTACTGATTTTGTTCTCTGCCAATTTCCCCCTCCTCTCTCTCCCTTGTTCCTTCCTCCTTTGCTCTATTTATAGGACATTGTTCAAACCCTCCAAGAGCAGTTAACACGACTGCTACCACGTTCTACGTGCGTATGACAGTTTATCTTCTATAGTTTCCCACGTTCTCACGATCTTCGACTTTTTTCCATGGTTTCGAAACCGCTCTTTATACGTGCGTTTGACTTACTTCCTTTCACGATTTGGCCAAAGTCTTGATGTCCACATTGACTTTCTTCACTCTCGATTTTGTGTTTTCGAGAACTTCAAATTGCTTATGATTCCTTTTTAACCTTGGTCTCATATGACTTAGTTTTTATTCGACAACAGACATTTGGTTATCATTCACTCGATTCTCGATTGTGCTTCTCGATCGTTATATGCTACGTACTTCTAATTAGACATCAAATGAATTTTTGTTTATCTTATCGAGTCACATATTTTTCCTTCATTTTTGATCGCTTTTATCGATTTGCCACTAACAATTACATATATAATTTAGTTAATAATATATTTTGATAATAAAGAAATAATATTAAAAAGAATATTAAGTTACATATTATTTCAATAATTTAACGTAACAAAACAATGAATATTACGTCATTTTATATTAAAAAGTTTTAAAAAATTCTTATTGCCTTTTTAGTGAAATGACGTGGTTATTGATTTTATTTAATTAAAAAATAAATAATTTGATTTAATAAAAGCAAGATAAAAATATTTGATAAAACGGGATAGAGAAAATGTAATGTTGTTATCGTATATCGAGGATACTGGATATAGGAGCAAATACTTGTTATTATTAGAAAATTGTATTAAAAAAACATAGAAAAGATTGTATTAAGCGATTATGTAGTTGATTATTGATAGGACAATGAATGTGTTGGGTGAAGCACGCAATAATGACGTTTGTGTTGTGCTTTTTCTAACTGCACAATGCATTGCCGCCGACACTAAGTTTTTTCTTCCATTCAAATTCACACCCTCCCTCCATTAGTCATCACACCCTTTATATTCTCATCTTTAAAAATTATATTCATTTTTTATTCATAAAAATCCAAACACTTGTTGATTTGTTTTTATAATAATTTACTTAACATATATTGAATTAAAATATTGTAGATTAAATATATTATTTGTTCATAATATTAAATATTTCATAAATATTGTATAGTAACATCAACAGTCTAGTATTGGAGGTAATAACTGAGATTATTAAATAGAACATTTAAAAAAAACGTTTGCGGTATTCATTCGTTGTTAATTTTTCATGCAACGTTTATTAAAGTTCAACTGCATTGCAAATTGCATCATTAATACTCGCTCTTTTTCATTCTTTCCCTACCCACCGCTCAGCTTTGGAGTGAGTATCATTAATACTCGCGCTTATATCTGATTTCAATCTACCAATATTTCTCTCCATTTCAACAATTAATCATTGTTTGCTAGTAGGGATGACAATTAAACCTGTACCCGTGGGGACCGACCCGTCCCCGTCCCGAGTTTGACGGAAACCCGAGTTGACGCGGCGGGGTCGGGTCGGGTTTCCGCTTTAAAAGTCGGGCGGAGGCGGGATGGGTAATGTAATCCCCACCCGACCCCGCCCCGTCCCGCACCGACTTTATATTTAAATTTAAATTTTAAAATATTAATATTTTAAAAGTATTTCATTTTCTTTTTCTATTACATATAAGGTTATTTTTTTATATTTCACCAATTTTTATTTTTCTTCTACCCACTTTTTAATTTTTTTTATCTTTCTCAATCTTTTATATCAATTAATTTATTATATTATTCTCTCCCTTATCTTTCAGTTTTTCACATTTTCTTAGTCTCTCCCATCAATTTGTTTTTTTTTTCAATCTTTTCAACCAATTTGATGAACACAAAATTAATCTTTTTTCTTTATCTTTTTCTAAATATTTTACATCAATCTTAGTAGTAACTAATATTAGTTTATTTATAATTTATATTTATTATGCCATATTTTTTTATCTTATTATGCTTATTTATCATATATCAAATTTTATCTTAATAAAATAATTGCATTTTAAAGGATTAAAAGAAATTAATAATTTAAACTTTTATTACTTCAAACTAATTAAATAAGAATTAACTTATTAAATATTTTCTTATAAACTATATATTGACAACTTAAAAATGAATTAACTTATATGTATAATTAAATATTTGAATACAGTATTATAATAATAATGTTATAAATATTCAAATATTTGAATACAGATGTTATAATAATAATAATAATAATGTTATAAATATTATATATATATATAAAAATAAAAAATAATTAAATATTTCTTTTACATATATATTTTAATATAAATATAATAAATTAAAATGTATATTTAATTAATAATAACTATAAATTATAAATATTTATTTATATATAAAAATACATAGTAAAATTAATTTATTATAAATATAATTATCTTTTTAAAAATAATATAAATTGGGGACGAGGCGGGGCGGGAACCGAAACCCAGCGGGACGGGGATGGAGACTTAATTCCTAACCCGCGGGGATCGGAGCGGGACGGGGATGGTTAAAAAAGTGGGCCGCGTTGCCATGCCTATTTGCTAGTGTGATTGGTTTTTTAAGTTTTTTTTGTTCCTCAACTTACTCACATATTTAGTCATCAAAGTAAACAAATATTGATTTTAATCCTGAATACATGTGTTTGTACTATATTTAGTCTTCAAACTATGAAGCTATTCATATTTTAGTTTCTTTATTTTATCTTATTTTATTTTCATAATTCATCTAATTCACTCACTTTTTGATCGTCAATAGATAAATTAAAAAAAATCAATAAAATTTTAAAATTGTACAAATATTGAATTATTAAACTGTTAACTATTAATATATAAATATTGAATTGGCAAAAAAATATCATTAATATGGAATTACACGATGTTTATAATTTGTTCTATAATGTTACAAAATTGTAAATTAAACTTTAGAAAAAAATAAGAGCATTTTTTTTATAATGATAATCTTAAAAAAGATGTTTTTTTTCTTCTGTTAACACAGTGAGAAAAATAAAGATGTTGTATTTATATATCAGTGATACAAAATTTACCAATTCATTGTTTTTACAAATTAGTTTAGAAACTATGAAGTTATTCACTTTTAATAATCCTTGTTGGTGGAGGTACTGAAAGAATGTGTAATTTGAAATAAAGTACAAACAATTAGGAACAAAAAGGTAAATTATCTTTACATTTTCATAGATAATGTTTTCTAAATTCTAATACATATATTGGTGAACCAAATGTAAATATAGATTGTCACTCCTAATGACTTGTCGGTTAACTATTTATTTTCTTAAATCAATAAATTTAATTGGAATACATTTACAACGTAAATATTCTTTTTACACCTTTATCTAATGAATTTACGCATGCATGGTAAGAAATTATCCTTCTGCAATGGCTTATTTTAAAGATGGTATTAAAATGTTGTATAGATTTGTTGATATTGATGGTGTATAAAAAATAGATTGAAATCAAATAAGCGAACATGTTTTGTTATTTTTGTCTACAGCAATTCAATTAGTCTAGCTAGAATCTTATTTAGATTAAAGGAGACAAAAATAAAAATAAATGAAATGAAAAAAAGATTGAGATCATCCAAGTAAAGAAAAATAGAAAAGAAGTGAGGTGATTTTTTTTTTTAAATTTAACGGAAAAAAGTTTATTTCCCCTGATTTTTTTAAAGAAACAATAAATTCATTTTCAACTATCAAATCACTAAAAAGTTAAAATTTCTGTTTAAGTGATTAGAAGTTTAAATAAGGAAAATGTTTTTCTGTTATAGTTTTATATTATAACTTAAAAAAAAAACTATATATTAAGGCAACGTCTCTTTTAAAGTAAAACAAGAACAAAGACAAGTCATTTTAAAATTATTAATCATAGTCTACGCGTGTGAGGAATGTGTTAAGGAAAGATAATAATCAGTGGAAGCCAATGAATACAAAGAACAAACTTGAAGGAGCCGTGTAAGAATCTGCAAAGGAAAAAGAAGAGGAAAGCAAAGCCACCCAGAATTTATTTTGACTCTTGTATTTTGGCAAGGACAAACACAAAACACGTACTCTTAAGTCTTAACTATTACTGTTAATTACAATTAATAATAACTAAAATTATTAATACTAGACGCCCTCTTTTTCTCTCTCTGTCTTTGGAACAGAAACAGTGTAGAAACCCCCCACCAAAGAGGATTTGCGACAAAGGTTGGCATTTCGGCCATTTACCTCAAAACCTTGGTTCTCTATGGAGACCAACAAACAGCAAAGGAAAAAATGGTTTCTGCCACTTGTACTGTCTCTAATGTTGTTCACCTTGCTCATACTCTTTTCCATCTTCGTCTCCTCCGATTCTTCCTCTTTGCTCTACCTATACCGCACACGTGGCAGAGTGGAAAAGCCTCGTTTCGTGGAGTCAAAGCTGAGGGTGTCTTCCACGTCATCCACTGACTCAGTTCCCAGGATCGCGTATCTGATCTCCGGTTCAATGGGTGATGGCGAGACTCTGAAGAGGACCCTCAAGGCCCTTTACCATCCCAGGAACCAGTACGCTGTGCACTTGGACCTCGAGGCTTCTACGCAGGAAAGATTGGAGCTTGCCAACTTCGTCAAGAACGAGCCTCTCTTTGCCAAAGTGGGCAATGTCAGGATGGTTGTTAAGGCTAACTTGGTCACCTATAGGGGACCCACTATGGTCACTAATACCCTTCACGCTGCGGCTATTTTGTTCAAGGAAGGTGGACTCTGGGATTGGTTCATCAATCTCAGCGCTTCTGATTACCCCTTGGTCACCCAAGATGGTACCCTCTTCTCTTTCCTCTCCTTAACTTTTTTTCTTTCTTCGATGAGCAAAACTAAGCAATGTTTTTGGTGGATTCCTTGTCGGTGTTATGGAGATTTTATTGATTCGTTATCTTTCAAACGGGGCCTGACAATTATTTATGTCTTGGTTGTTTCCCAGCTTTTGATTTTGTGTTAATGGATTTAAATGCTGGTTTGTTTTGGAATGCATTTCTGAGATGTGATGTGAGAACCGACCTGTATATCGCTGCTAATTTTGCTTGAGATAAATTTATAGACTTGCTGAATTTTAAATTGGTCTGATCTGTCCCAGTATGTGTCCAAAGTGTTCTATTTGTTGGTTTGCTCATGAACTAGTTGTTTGTTTTGTCAGTTGACAGGCTTGTTCCTCTCTCTCTTCTTGTAGCCCGGGGAGGTGGGGGAGGAGGAATGCCAGGTTTCATAAAAGTAAAATCACTTATAACTCAACTAACTTCTGCTTTGATGCTTCTTTACGTTTTTGAGAAACAGCCACTGTCAATGTACATTAGATGCACAGTAATAATTATAAAAAATAAATTTTTGTTATGAATTTTTTGATGGTTTGTTAGTTAAATGCTCAAATCTGTTCATTTGTTGAAACTTACTAAGGAATGTGAACTGTGAATTATGTTATCCTGTTTTCACAATCACCCACTTCATCCCTTCTGCTCAACAGATCTGCTGCATACACTGTCATCAACTCCAAGGAACCTTAACTTTATTGAGCACACTAGTGATATTGGCTGGAAGGAGTAAGTTGCCAATCCTTTCATCCTGTATGTTTGTTGCGTGGTTTACTTTATTTCCTTCCAAGGTAACATGCAATTTTGTGAAATATCAAACATACCTATTCTTTTCAAGTAAAACTTTGCTGTTTACTTTTTTCAATAGAGATCAGAGAGCCAAGCCTGTTATAATTGATCCAGCTCTTTATAGCGTCAACAAATCTGAATTATTTTGGGTGACGGAGAAAAGGAATGTTCCCACAGCATATAAGCTGTTTACAGGTGTGGTATCTTATGACTTATTTTGCTTAATATTTATTTTGTTATTTTTCTCATTCCACGTTTTTTAGTTTGCTTTTTCAAATTTGTAGAATGTTTCAGTAGTATGCGACATGTAACCCTAGAATAAATTAGAGGAAACCAAAAAGAGCTAAGGAAAAAAATTTGAAGATTGAAATGATAGAAAGAGAAAGAGGGGGGTGGGGGTTTTGGAGGTAAAGCAATAGTGCTGTGAATTATAGTAAGAAGATGACTTGTGGCGCCGGTGGTTTTGGGTAATATGATACCTTTCCATCTTTCTCAATTTTTTACTTTTCTTATTGATCAAGTTTTTCACACTTGTCATGAACTCAATATCCCATATGTATCTTGATTGCCATTATTGTTCTTATTGAAAATCCAAGTATGAATTGAAATCCCACTTTGAGTAGAAATGAAAGTTAAGAAACTTATGAAGGAGAAAGACTTATAATCTAAATGTATTAATGTTTTGAGTTAATGAGATATCATATCCTCTTATATGGACGACTCTTGGTCTTATTTTTGAGAAGTTTCTTATATAAACCCTCCTCACAAATACTTAACTACTCTGGTATTAGAGTCAAGAATGGGAGCTTTTGCTCGAGGTTCCTAATACAGATTTGGCATTCATACAGGAGGTCTAATTGAATATATGTTTATTTTAGTGTTCTTTCCCTCTATTTAAGTTGACAATTGGTAACTAGCCCCCGGTTAATGGAACAAGTAAGTATTCATTATTATTGAAAATACAAAATTCATTTTATGCTTATTTTTAAAGTAATTAACAGCGTAGTGCATTAAATGCACCTTAAGCAATGTCAGTAGGTCCTTTGTTAGCATGATCCTTTTAAGTTTGTTCCAAAATGAAGCCGTTTGCTGTTAAAGATCCGCACAATATCACCTAGTTTATTTGAATCTATGATATACAAGACTTCATCTTCTCAAGTTTTTTAATAATTGTCAATAAGTGGAAAGGCCTAGTATCCAACTCTATGCTATCTGAGTTTTGTTTTGCTACATGATTTTATGTAGGTTCTGCTTGGATGATGCTCTCTCGCCAGTTTGTTGAATATTTGTTATGGGGATGGGATAACTTGCCTAGAATAGTCTTGATGTATTATGCCAACTTTCTATCCTCCCCTGAAGGATATTTTCACACAGTCATCTGCAATGCTGATGAGTTCCGCAACACTACTGTGAACCATGACCTCCACTTCATATCATGGGATAACCCTCCAAAACAACATCCCCACTTTCTTACAATTAATAACTACCAGGAAATGGTGGATAGCAACGCTCCATTTGCCCGAAAATTTGGCAGGAATGAACCACTTTTGGATAAGATTGATACTGAACTCTTGGGACGAAATGAACATGGTTATGTGCCTGGCAAGTGGTTTGACCGAGCAAATCCAAACATCACCAAACCATATTCTGCCATAAGAAATATCACTGACCTTAAGCCTGGCCCTGGAGCAGAAAGGCTCAAACGCCTTATCAATGGTTTATTGTCAACAGAAGATTTTCAAACGAAGCAGTGTTCTTGACTCCCAGTTTTAAACACCTTGCTATGCTCATTGCTGTTTTTCCATCACTCAACAGCAACGGGCAAACCATTATGATGTTCAGTTGACACCCGAGGATGTTTTGAGACAAACTTGAAATATGAGAAGATATAGCAGAAAACAGAAGGGATCATTTCTTCAATAGTACGCCTTACCTTTAATTTCTATTTTTAACACTAATTTTAACGTTACCACATATTTGTAGTCAATATGTATCCATTGATTTGATTCACATGATTTATTACATTTCATGGATGGCAATGACGAGTCATCAATGCAATTCTTGTACTCTGTAGAATGTCTTCATAGTTATATAATGCACGGGTAGAATGCGTGCTACTGTTAGGCTGGAAGTGGCTCAAACCCGTAAAAGTACTATCCTAACGAATCTTTTTCACAAGAACATGCTCAAGTAGCTGCCACTCATTTTTTTATTCTTTTCTCTCTCTTTTCTTGAGTTATATACCTTCATGAATTGGTATACATTTTACAGTTGATGTACTATTAGACCCATTATTGTCCTCTAAATTCATCTTGTTGATAAAAGAATAACTCGCACATTTAATTGTATCTGTACATGGAAGGGAAGGGATCACCTGCAGGGAACTCATCTATAGTAACCAGATCTTTGGTTGCATCTGAGTTTCAGTTTCTTTACTATTTTGAGCTTCTTAGTGTTGGCTAAGTTTGCCTCCCCCGTTTTCACTTCTTATACATGAAAATGTATTTTCATTGCATTTATAATCCAATGATTGGAGCATCAAAATTTACTTTTAAGAATACTCACTTTAAAAGATCCATTTTGTTTTGTTCTCATTTCAAAGTTCAAACATATGATATTTAACTAATTGTTTTTTCATACGCGAGCACACTCAATCAGAATGCCCTCAATGTGTAGTCTCAACGGGCCTAGTCCCATAACACTAGAGATTTTGTTGCTTCACCATTCAAGGGGTAAAACCTTCATGGTCCCGTGCACTAACATCATTAAAAGGAGTCTCCTAAAAAACATTTTTTTAGTTTGTTTCCCTTATGTGATAGAAGGAATAGTCACCTCCAATAGGCTTGTTAGAAATAATTAATTTTGTTGGAAATAAGTGTGAGAGTAGGAGTGCTATACTGAATGAGAATGAACAAAATGAATAATGTATAAAACGAAAGATTTACGCACTTATTATCCGAAGGTTTTATAGAAGATGGTGTATGTTTTCAGATTCATTATTTATTGGTAAAAGATGTTGCCATGACAAAAATCTCGATTATAAGATTAATAGGTGCGAGACATTTACCTGATAATCTACTTTAACTTTGTATTCTTATTATCAAACACCGAATCTAATACTTGCTTATTTTTCTTTCAGATGTTCATTTCAATCGCATTTTAAATGTTTTTTTCCCTTCAAATTACAAAGATTAAAAATAATAATTTAAAAATTAAAAGACAAAAGACATAGTATCTCAAATTTATGTACTTAAAAAGATATTAGAGTCATCTATATATTATAAACTTTGAACATTTGTACCTTTTTGTTTTTGTAAAACATTTCTATACACGTGTACATGAAAAAGAATGAAAAGAAATAGAGAAAAATATATATTTTCAGATTTAATGATAAAAAATACAATATTTTTTGAAGTAATAGTTGAGTTGAGTCTTTTAAAAGTAAACCTTGTAATTATAATAAATATTTTTAAATTAACATTTTAGGATAATCAATAAATCAACATAATTCTAATATTATTCATGCATTACACAAAAAAATTCAATAGAGTACATATATTATTAAAAAGAACTGAAATTATTTAAAAAGGTAAAATTAAATATATTAAAAACACACGTTACACACCTGATTTTTTTTATTTTTATAAGTTCTCTTTATTTTAATGAAACAAAGATGAAAAACACTCTTTAGTGTTATGTTTCATGAAAAAAGAAAACACTCCTCAATCCTCACAATCCAACTTCCAAGCAAAGGTGTTATCATCTTGCAGATCCAATCTCAAATAGAAATACTTTCTTTCTCTTTAAATTCTCTTCCACTGAGAGAACCCAAAGCTTTGATAACACACAGTCCTTTTCCATGGCAAATGCCTGGAAAAGAGATAAGCCCGTCAGACTCCTCTCCCCAAAGTTCCTCTTTTTACTCTTCGCTTCCACTCTCCTCCTCCTCCTCGTTTTCGCATTCTTCACCTCGCATTCCTCAGACCCCTCCACCCCCACCGTCATCGCCCAAAAAACCTGCCTCTCCTTCGATGCAATCTCCCCCTTCAACTGCACCGCCTCCCCGCAGGCCCACCCCGTCGTCGCCAGCACCGTCGAGGGCGTGCGCTACCCCTTCCTCTTCTCCCTCTCCGATTTCGGAACCCTCCCCGACAAGCCCCACAAAAACATCGTAAGGATGCTCAAAGGGAAGCCCTTTCGCAAGCCCGACATCTCCGTTACTGTTCAGGACCTGCTCGAGAAGGCCAAGAGCGAGGGCAAGGACGGGTATGTTGTCGACGTTGGGGCCAACGTGGGTATGGCCTCCTTCGCCGCCTCTGCTATGGGATTTCGGGTTCTGGCGTTCGAGCCTGTGTTCGAGAATTTGCAGAAAATTTGTGAAGGGATTTACTTCAACAGAGTTGCGGATTTGGTCACTGTGTTTGAGGCCGCTGCGTCGGATCGCATTGGTAACATTACCGTTCACAAGGTCACATTTCTTGCCTTATTTATTTATTTATTTATTTTTAATTTAATTTTGATGTGCTTATTTTTAGTTCTTGAATTGAATTTTGGTTTCCTATAGTTAATGATGGGTTTATAAACTGAACTGTAATGAAGGGTTGTAGAAGTCGGCTTGGGTTGTGTTGGTAAGAAAGAATCGTTTGAAGTGCATAGAGAGAAAAGTGGGGCCTGTTGGTGGAAATAGATAAATTAATAATGAACTATTTCTGGATAGTTATAATCAATTTCTGAAAATTGCGTTGAGAACTCACTTATTTGAAGTTCTAGTATGGTTTTCCACACACTTATGCTTTGTTCTCCACAGGGTGAATGCGAATCAGCTCAAAATTTCTGGTAGGACATTTTAGACTTTCATGATAAACTTAGATTTTAATCCTTAGTTGCAATGATGACAATGGAATGACATATAACCTGAGACAAGTTGAACCCTAACATTGGATCTATTAGCATCAGTCACAATTCAACAAGGAATAGAAGAAAAGGAAGACAAAGGAAAATTGAAATTAAGTCGGAATGTGAGAACAATGCCACACTCCTTTTATTTGACACTTTGAATTAGGAAATTCAAGGATAAGAAACAAGAGTAGTTCCTAAAAACCTATAGAATTTCTCTCAAAAGCATAAAGTTTCATTCACCAATGAGTCAAAACTTCTTCCACAAGCCAGCAAATGACTGCTTATACTATGGAGATTAGACTTGTCCGACTCATTAGGCTCAGTGGTCGGACAAATATGTGAGAAGCCTACTAACAAATAATGCCCACCTAGAGGTCTTAATTATACAAATATGAAAACAATTACAAAAAGTTCAACAAAGATCCAATACAGAATCACTAATCTATTATTTAACTCTAAATATAACCAAAGTCTCTTTCTTATCCTTTTTAATTGCCATATGTACATACAATTAATAAAAAATTTCTGGGAGTTTCTTCTAGTTTAAGAATAGGAAGCAATTAGTGTTTTTTTCAGTTTATGTTGCAATATGTTAGTCTTGGTAGTGAAAATAATGTTCTAGAGCATAAGACTATATGCATCTAAGGTTTAGGGTCTACAATTTCCAACCTCCCAAATTCCTCGTCATCTCTAGGTTGTGATTTTGGTAGATTGCATCGGATCATTGTTGAAGATCGAGATTCATGTGGTTGAAACTTTTCTCGCCAGCCAATTTCTCTTTCATGAGCGGGTCAGGTTTTCAACCAGGTTTATACCCAATCTGATTCAGCCAAAAAGAACCCTAATTTCTAAAGCCCAAAGCCCAATCCTTTTCTGTTTTGCTGTCAAATACCCTGCGCCTCTTTGGACCTAAAATATGAAAGTCTGTTCTTCCTTTCATAAATAACCAAAAGTCCCCCCTTTTTCACCTAAAATTACCGACTTCCTTTAGCAAAAACAAAAATCACTGCCCATTTTTACCTTAAAAAAACTACCACTGAGCTTTCTCTTTCTCCTCCGAGACAAAAATCACTAGCTCCTCATTCTCTTTCTCCCCTGAGGCACTCTTCCTTCTGTTTTTATTGCAGTCTTCTCTCATCTAAGCTATCTGCCCCCAACACACACATCATCTTTGTGATTCTTTTTACAGAATACACACCTCTGTTCTACACAATTAAAATGACTTCAACTCTAGTTCCAAACTCCTCTAAACCTACACCATGTTAAATGATTTCGACTTGCAAGATTATTTACTTTAGATGAATTAGTGTTTTGTAAGTAAAATGGATGGGGCCACAAGTTACTAATTTGCTGTTTTGTAACTAGGAAAGGGTTACCGTTTTTTGTAACTACTAAACTAGTATGAGAATGGGATACTATTTTGTGAATCAGTTCAATATTACATGTTATATACGCATAATGTATTTTTTTTTTTTCCTTTCTTTCTTTCTTTTGATGTTGGGTAGAAGTTTAATTATGTCTGTCCAATGTCATATTCTGATTGTTACTTTATATACATGTACCTGTATATAATTACATTTGCATATATATGAACTTCTTAAATTTTGTTGGATCTTTTACGATTCCCCAATTCCCTTCACGATCTTGAGTAAGATTTTGATTTTGATTACGTTGGGCTAGGTGTATATAATGAAATTAATTTATTTTACATTTCACTTCTGCTTGTCTCTTTCTATGATGCTGATTAATTCAATTTCTTTATTTCCAGTTGGTTGGTAGGTTAGACAACAGTGCAATATCAGCCACAGGTGCAAAGCTGGCATTCAAGTCCAATAAAGAGATAGGTTTTCAAGTAAGGACTGTTCCTCTTGATAAAGTGATTCCAAAATCCGAGCGCGTTCTTCTGCTTAAGATAGATGTTCAGGGCTGGGAATATCACGTTCTAAAAGGAGCATCAAAGTTGCTCTCAAAGGAAGGAAGCCAAGCCCCATATCTCATATACGAAGAAGATGAGCGCTTGTTACAGGCCAGTAATAGCAGTGCAAAAGAGATTCGAGACTTCCTCCGTAGTGTGGGTTATCATGATTGCACCCAACATGGCACAGATGCGCACTGCGTGAAGAAGGATTGATCGTAATATTGATATTCAGTTTTGCAGCCCCTAGATGATACACCATGCTATTGCTAGTTGTCAATGATTCGTGAATTGATAGCCAACGCTGATAGAGTTATGACGGGTGGAACTACATCGCTAACTGCAAGTTGCTTCTTGATCTCTATCAGTCCACGAAGTTTGAAATGCATGTGTTATTGAACAAACATTTCCTTAAATTACGATTCTTGGGTAAATCTGGTTGGGTTTTGGTCTTGTATACAGGCCTTTATTTGTAGGCATTCGTTTGATGTAATCCACAATCATATTATTAAAATCAATTTATAATACTTGATATGTCAACCAACTCGGAGCCATGAATTATACAGAGTACTACATCATCTGTGGAAGCCAACATAACGCGTAATATATGGGTACTACGAAGTTATACATTTTCCAAAATGAAGTAAAATCACTGGTCAATCTCGTAAGGAATAAGAACTATAGTTACGTGATTACAGGACATCAAAATAATTGAATTGTATTTTTTTTTTCTGAGGAAACAACAGCTGAATTATTTGTTTAACTTCAGCTTGCCTGATACTTGAAACAGAGACAGCAGTGTGTAGAAGAGAAACACGAAATTTTTGTCATCTTGGCACACTGGCACAAACAAATAACAACCCAATATTAGAAGTCGCGTTGCAGGGTCTCCCTCGATTTCAATGGTTTCCGAGATACCTCACTGTAAAACACGTGCAATTAATAAACCTTGAACCACTGCATTCTATGGAATAATGATCAAATAACCAATTCTGTCGGTATTGATGCTATATGTAAAAGAATGAACGATTCTAAATCCTCTTGTAATATTCTACTAATTCTCATTATCAAATGAAGAAAATATTAAATGATTTTTGAGGTTTTGATACCTGGGCTCTAACCACACAGCTCAGTCCTTAGGAATCCTTTGGCCCACTAGTTTTTGAAGGGCCCGCTCTTTCCACCATAACGTCATAAAGCTGCTTCCCATTCTGCATGTCAAGAAATTAGCAAGAACAATAAAAATAATGTTGAAACTTAATGTCAGTAACTCAAAAATAAAAATGAAATTTATTTTTCTTAGCCATCTCCTGTGTTTGGCTATACTTGGGTCCAAACTGCTTACAAAGATTATGGGAAAGAAATGAATTTGTCCCTCGGGCTTTGTTTGCGTCTCCTTGAAGTAAACCAAAATAGGGAAGTTTGGCCACCAGAGTTCCCAATTAACAAATGTTGAGTACCTGCAGAGCATATCAAAGTAGTTTTGTCCTACTGCTGTGAAGTTCTGGTAAGCGTATACAAGAAATAAGGTACTTACTTCCAGCGGTTTTCTCCTCCAACGAAAACATTCTCACCTGATTCCCGGAGCTGTTCACCAATCCTTACCTCCTAAACCATAAATTTTGTATACAACTAATATGAATAACTAAAAAGAGAGCAGAAAAAACACACTTGAATGATAAATATACAATTACATGAAGTCATGCACAGATATAGTATGCCCATGAAGTTACATATACTAGGATGGTAACTGAAACTGAATAATGATTGCATATAAATATGAACCATATATAAAGTTACAATCGGTCAAGCTGCATTTGCTTAGTCATGTAGTATCGTTTTGCATCAGGTTGGTGTAATCTAATAATAAACTCATGCAATGATTGATGAAAAAGAGACACATAATTTGCTACTAAGACATAAACGTTTGGAACAAAATTGTTCTCAGAAATCGAAGGGGTGGATTCTCTAGTTTTGGTTGTTATGATTTACGATTACAAGTTCCACTTGTTTGTACAACGAAGAAAAAAACTGAGATGGATTCAATTATATAATGGCAGGACATTTTGTGCTTTTAGACTTGGAAACTGAATAGAAAAACCTAATTAAAAACTGCAATATGTATTACAAATTTTAAAAGTTCCTTAGCGATTAGAATTTAGGTAGTGGACTTTTCTGATTAATTTGAACTAAATGAATTTCAACTCACGTTTCAGCTATAATAAGACAAACTATAAAGGTTTTTAAGAGAGTAAATAATGAAGACTAAGTGCCAAGAAAGTAAATAACACTATACATAAACCACAAAGTTTTTGGAGAAGTACGAAGGGAACAAACCAGTGCGTCATCATCAAAGACAAATCTCACTCTAGTGGTCTGAAGAAATAAGAGACAAATGATAGGAGAAAAAGTCAGCTTCTGAAAATGGAATGGTACGTATAAAGTAGCTTTTAGCATACGAAGTGAAAAGTCACAGAAAAAAATGCCATGGCCTTCTCGAAAAAAACGTACTTGGGCCAATGTACACCTTTCTCAATTACACTTTCGTTTAGTAATAATCACCTGGAACAACAAAAGCAATCCAAGGAGACCGACAGGTACTGCAGGTACTAGATTATCTGTGTAAATCAACCCACCAGCTATACCTGATAGTACAATTTTAAGCCACATAAGATTTTATGATGTTTGTCGGTATGTAAGAAAAGGAAAATGAAGTTGTTGAAAATGTTAGTTAATCTCATTAAAAGACTTGAATTCACCTAGTTCCAAAGAACCCAACACTAAGGCAACAGAATGGTACTTTCCAAATGAATGAAATTCAATCCTTTATAACCGATTGTGATTAGCCCAATAAAATGGTCACCAACCAAACTATGTAGTTCTAGATAGATTATTCAGCACAATCTACAAATTATGTATGAAAGTATGGTGGACTATGGCCTGTCGATTTGGGAAGAACAGTATGCACAATCCGCTCAAATATGTAGGATTATACCATGCCATTATCCTCAGTTACAGATTCAATCTATACAGTACGCGCTATTGCTTACATGAAAGTCTAAAACTAAGTGGTATGACACATACAAATAAAGAGAGAATCAGTAACCACCGAGTAGCACAATTGAAATCCTGTAATCTGGTTCAGGAATCACAGTCTCTCTGTTCCTCACGGACCTCACCTTCCTTCCAAGCTGTCAACAAAGAAATGCCAAAGTTATAATTCACAGTAACCACACCAAAGAGACTTCAAATGTATGAAAAACACAACTATAAGCAATGATAAATGAAATGCAGAGAAAACAGAAAGGGTGAAGTAGCAACCAGTGACTGAACAACAAGACGGTTTCCATGGCTTCGAGCTATCAGTCTCCCATAGAAACTTGGATTGCGCACAACATGGCCACAAATTGAAGATCTGAAAGCACTCAAGTAACCAATCTTTTCCCTCCCTAAAATAACAAAAAGAAAAGCATAATAGTAAAAACCAATACCAGTTTCAAACTTTCTCACTAGTATTTTCATGAAAATATCCACATTTATTGAAAAGGGAATGGAAAATTTGACAAACTGACAGAGAACAGCGATCAATCTGACGAAATTGCACGCAATTAAGCTTACTTTGGGTGGGAAGGAAGTGTTGTACGGACAGTAGAGTGCTCGCCATTTGTTTGGGTTTCACAAAAGCCTTGTCTTTTTTTATGTAAACCAAGAAGAATGGTTTTTACCAAAATGCCCACTATTCATTGCAACATGTCCAAGGGCGTTAAAGTAATAAAAGCACAAACTTTACCCACAAATTCGAAGGCCTTATCTGTTGCAACTCGTATTAGTTGAGCTCACTCCTTCGGCTCAGTCAGAGTTCAGACCAAACTTGGCTACACAGTTTGATATTTTGAGTCCCTGTGGTTGAGAATGGCGCACTCTCTGTGTATTGCTCCAATTTGTTCGTTGAAATCCCCAAATATACCTGGTATTAATAACTCTTTGTTTGTTTGTTTGTTCTTTCTTGGGTTTTGCGTGCTTATTACAATTGAATAAGAACTTGTATCACTTTAAATAGGGACAGTTATCGGTAATTCGGTTACCCGAAAGGCTTTTGGGATGAAGGAAGTGTTACAGAGTTCTAAAGTTCCAAACTTTCAGCCTTTGAAGGTTAAGGTGAGAATTTAAATCAGTTTAAGCACCCCATTTACAAATAAGGTGCTTTGTGTTCAGTTTTCTTTCTTCTTTGTTGTGTCAAGAAGAATGCTAGCTTGAGTACATCGGTTTGGTCAGTTTGCTGCATCAGGCATTTATGATTTGAGATATGTGGTTCATTGGCCGAAAGGTTTTGTCCAGTAACATTTAGAAAAAAAAAAAAGTGAGTGCTAATGGCACATGTAACTTGGACATGCATTAAATGTAGCTGGTTTCCTCTATTGTGTTTAACAATACATAATTGCATATGTTTTGAATCCCTCTCTGATTTTTGTTTAATGCAGGCTACAGAAGATAACAGTGAAAGAACAAAAGCTAAGAGCATTGTTTGTTCTGATTGTGAGGGAAATGGTAAGTGAAAACGTAGATTTTTATTTTCTTTTTATCACTATCTTTGGCGGCTTTCTTATTCTTTGTTGAAAGATGGTTTAAATTAATGAGAGCGTTTGTATGATATCATACAGCAATTTCTAGCTTTGTGCAAAACTTTGAACAGGAAAACCATAGACCTGGTTAACATTTAGATCGTTCAGTGCTTCTTGTTTTATCGACAAATTTCCTTTCCTAAAAAAAATTTATGCCAATAGTGAAGGCAATGCCTTTAAAGTCTACTAACCTCTAAAGGCTATTAACACGATTGCTTTCAAATTTAGTCAGATATTTCACCAATATCAACGTAAAAAAATGTCACAGTCATACTGGTTCCAGTGGGAATGTAGCATACTTTTAGTTGTCCCTCTTTGTAAGAAAATATCAAGATGAGTCAATTATCACTCATTTGATTGTTAACTCCATTCCTTATATGCCATATCTATTGTATGGCATTAAGTGGATAGAGGTGTTCAAAATCAAACCAATCCAAAAATAAAACCGAAAATCGATCCAAAAAAAAAGTAAAAACTGATAAAATCATTTTTTTTTTTTTGAATTTTTTGGATTGAAAATTTTAAATCTGATTGATTTTGTTTGGATTTTGGTTTGAAAGTCAGGAACCAACTCAAACCAAACCAAACCAAACCAAACCGAAATTATAATATATAATACTGAAATTATAATAACATTTACTGTAAGCGAGTTAATTATTTTCTTATAATTTAGGACACTTATTGTTATTATTTTAAATTCAATGTAAAAGCATATAGAAACAAATTAAAACTATAAGTATTACAAATGAAGGATGACTTTATAATATGTTTCTTTATTTAACAATTATTTTATTATAACATGTTTAACAATTCTATAAAACAAAAATCGCAAAAAATAGTTAAAATCAAACCGCAAAATAGTCCAAACTGGATTTAAATTTTTCGTTTGGGTTGGGTGAATTTTTAGTATAAAATCAAACCAAACTGTGCTACAAACACCCCTGATATTGGGAGGATCAAATCTCTATTCAACTCTCATTATGGGAAGGAGGCCCTCTTGAAGTTATATCTCTTTTATGGCTTGGTATCGGCTGGGTTTTAGGCCCAGGATCAGGCTAGTATGGCTTGGTATCGGCTGGGTTTTAAGGCCAGATGGTGTCTGTCGGGTTAACCTCCCTAGTAGAGGATTGTCTGATTCTGTGTCCTTTAGTCAAGACACTGGTAGAAGCAATTTATCTAGCTCTAGGGAGTGATGGGTTATTGGTATCCCCAGCATCCTTGCTGGACAGCCAACGAGATTTTGTTTCTAACCTTACTCCTGTGAAGTAGTCCTTCTTCATCAATGATACTTCATGAAGAGTCAGAATTTTTTCATGTATATTTGAGGCCTGCTTCCAATTTCTTGGAGAGCTAGCTGAAATTTGAATTATTTTCTCCTTTTCCATCATTAGAAACATCAATATTAAACTCACTGGATTGTTATCTTTTTGCTCAATTGCCAGGTGCAATATTATGTACTCAATGCAAAGGTACTGGCGTTAATTCTGTAGATCACTTCAACGGACAATTTAAAGCCGGTGGATTGTGTTGGTTATGCAGGTAAGTGTACCATACCGCATTTCTTCCTCTCCCTTGATCTTATCCTGTGAGTTGTGTGAGTGCTATGTTATGTATATGGCGACTAAATATTCATTTATATGCATTAATTTCTATCTCTTCTCCACCTCCCCCAAGAAAAACTAAATGTATCACTCATTACCAGTGCTGCTACCACACTATGCTTGACACCAAGGTGTAAATAGAAAATAAATAAACAGTCTATCTCAACCAATAAAGATCAAGACTGAAATTTCTGCTGAACTTTTACTATTTATTAGCATCAGGAAAATGTGTAATGTAGTAGAAACTCTTTCTCCAATCTTTGAAATGTTAAATTTTGGTTGAGTATGCTGCTCAACTGATTGTAGTGAAATAAACTATACCGCCTATCTCCTGGATAGGATGAATATATAACAGACAAAATGCATGGAATAAGATTACATGATTGTCCAATAGAAATTCATTTCAGTCCCACCATTAAGATTGGTGTCCGAATGGGATAAGTAATTTCCTTTTTCCTTCCCTTAAAGCTTATTGGTTGTCTGTTTAGAACTATAACAAGACCTGGGCCAATTATGGGGGTTTGCAGGCATCTAGTTGACTTTTTATCGGAAAGTATAAGAATGAAAAATTGAATGTTCCTTCGATCCTTCGCTGTTTATTGTTTTTACAACATGTAATATGGATAATGTTGTTTAAGGGAAATGGGTTAGTTGGTGTGTAGAGAGGTTGCTGCCGAAGATATAGGGTCATTTTGAACTTATATTTAGTTCGATTGTTCTTATTTGATTGCCTGGCATGACTTGTTATTACTTTCAATAGTCATGATTTTGTTGAGTATAACGCTGTTAAAGAAGCAGGAGCGTGTCGAAAGGCCTTCGGATTAATTGCGAGTGCCATAGGTTTAGCTTCAATCTAATTCTATACAACATGTATGTTCCTTGCAGGGGTAAAAAGGATATCTTGTGTGGATCTTGTAATGGAGCTGGCTTTCTTGGTGGATTCATGAGCACATTTGATGATTAAAAGTTTGGCTAGATTGAATTAAAGATTCCTAATGACGATACTAAGAGAAAAGGTTGTATGAATCTGCTTGTTCCTTCGTTGGTCTTTTTGTAATGTGTATTCAAGAATGTAAGGAAACTGGCTTTTCCTCCCAAATTTATGACTTTTTTTTTACGTGAAGTTTGACATTTTTGTTAATGGTTTATAAATTGCATAGTATATGGATCAAATTTTGAAAGCTTCTGATTTGCACATTCTAAAGTAGTGAACATTGTATGTAACTGTCTTTCAAACACATCCTCAATCTATTTAGAAAAACAAATCAACTTTTTCATTTATGTTATGAAATATCTTGTACATTACACCAATAACACGTTGATGATTGCCTTTAAATATTTAAAATTATTTTTGACGCAAGAAACCAAATCGCCGACTTGTTATTTGGAATTATATTGCTATTACGTTATTAAAATATTCCATAGTTATACGGATAATAAAAACTAGTACAGAGCATGTAACATCAACGTCGCTTTGGCCGAGTGGTTAAGGCGTGTGCCTGCTAAGTACATGGGGTTTCCCCGCGAGAGTTCGAATCTCTCAGGCGACGATGGTTTGTGATTTTTTTGTTTAATATCGATTTATTTTTTTTGTTTTTTTAACTTATAATTTAATCTGTTTTTTATTACTTCATACACATTCACGGTTGTTAATTTTATACATTCCTTCAAAATGGACAGCATCAGGAGCTGCTAATGCTAGGATGTCAGCACATGAGACAGTTCCAGGTCACATGGCCTCTATTTGGGATTTTGCATCATCAATCACTTCAAAACCTTTGCATTCTTCTCTGCAGAAGACTCTGCAATCAAAATTGATTCATCGCATCCCTGTGGGAGAGTGAAAAGATAATGTTTTAGGAGAAGAAATTAATACATGAATACTATGAAGCAAATAAGAGAAATTATAATATTAATTAAAAACTTGTAACCATTTCTTTATTAAGATATACATGTATCCATTTTTAATCTTGATCATGGTGTGATTCATATTTATAGTTTTATTTTTAAAGCTTGGTTACCTGCACAAAGCAATTATGGAAATGAAGCAATGGTTATATCTTTTTTGAAGTAGGATTGAAGGGTGAACCGTACGATGGCCTCAGCTTTTGGACATGAAAAAGAATAAAACCCTGTCATCACCAAAATCATTAGGTTACCAACCATGCAATAAAAGAATCTACAATCTTCCCAATTTCATGCTTCTCTCACTATCCCTTCCTAGTGTGGTTTATAGTATACCACTGAATGTCACTCATATAAGAGTATGTCAAGTGCCAAAGTTAACCTTATCATATATGATTGAGCTTTTCTTAATTTTTATAAGGTTTTGGCCCATTACATTTGCTATGTCATTTTGATAAAGTGAGTTAAAAAGATGCATTCCCATTTTATGTTTTCTTGAGTTCATACTATATGTAGAACGGAAGATAGGTTTCATGGTTTAGATTGCATGATGGAAAGGGCTGTTATGAGGAAAGAATAAAGATCTATAAACTTTTTGTGTATTCCTAGATCTTAAAAAAGTCAAGTAAGATTAAAAGTGAAATAAAGGTTACAAATCTAAAACACAAAGAGATTAAAGATGCAGATACAAGTTGTGTTTTTCAAGATAAGAATACAAGAGAAAAAAAACTCTTAAATATACCTAAATTGAAAAAAAAAATCCAATAAGTTGATTTAGTTATATTTGTTTAGAAGGTTTGACATATAGTCAAAAAAATTAATGTCATTAATAAAATATTAATTATTCTAGTTTTTTTATTTAAAGTATCTTCAATCAGAATAATTTATATAAGTTGTTTTTTATCTTTAAAAAAAATATAATCTTTATTTTTTTAATTGGTTGAGATAAAAAAATGATTAAGTTTTATTTTGGAATACTTAAAAATAAATTTCCTATTTTAAAGTTGATGTTTTCGTATAAGTCTTCTAAGCAACAACTTAGTAATAATATAATTTGTTATCCATAACTATATTTGAGAGTAGAATTTGAATGATGATTATAATTTGTTATTCATAATTATATTCGAGAGTGAAATTTGAACGATGATATACTTTGTTATTTGTAACTATACTCGAGAGTGGAATTTAAATGATGCATTATTTCATATGCGAGAAAAAATAATTTAAACAAATTAAGATGTAAATAAAGTTCTAACAGAAAGAAAGACAATAATATCTGACAATGATAATTTGTGAAACCTACCAGAACAACATACAAATTTAATATTAACAAGATAAGTTTGAAAATTAATAATTAACTTAAGTTTTATATAAATAATGTAATATATATTTTTATTTTCTAATATTTATGAATTTTTTATTTTGTTTATAATTATTTATATAAAAAAATATCTTATTTATATTTAATGAGATTAAAATTAAATATGTTTATTAAATGATAATTAATAAAAAAATTATCACTAAACAAGTTTTTTTTAATATTTAAAGCTGTTCTTAGAAAATATTTTTATCAAACAAATTTTTTTATTTTCTCATTCTTAAAATAATTTTTAAACTATGGTTATAAAAAAAAACAAAATAAACTTATTCTAAAAAATGTTTTTTTAAAATTAAAAAAAAAAACTAAATTAAACAAATTCTTAATTTTTTCGTTGATTTATTTTGGGGTGATTAACATACTGGGCTTTGTTATTTCCACTCCCCGCAAAAATTATTCCCCAACTTTGCAATTCTGATTTGACTTTGGGTTTATGATTATGCTCATACATCGAAGCATGAGTATTTTATTGATAACTATTTTTCTATATATAATTACTTAATAACCTTAGTATAATAGTATATATATATATATATATATATATATATATATATATATATATATATATTCCATACTTTTTAATCAAACGAACATATAATTAGTATTATTGGATATCGATTTATATTAGTTACAAATAAATATTTATCAAAATTTTAAATAATTATAGGAGATTACATTTTTTTCTTATGATTACAAAAGATTTATCTATAAAAGTCTATTATTTAATATTTTTTTAAATAAGTAAACTTGTGTTCAGAGTGAATTTGAGAGAATAGAAAAGAAGAGAAAGAGAATGAAGAATGAAATTGTTTGAATTAAAGGAAAGAAAGTAGAAAGTAACGATAAATGAGTAAAAATATGATAAGAAATGAAATTAATGTAATTGACTAAAAAAATTGAAATAATAATTTAAAGTGTGTAATGATCAAAATATTCCTATATTAATAAGAAATAAAATAATTATAAATTAAAATTATGATCTAATTTAATTTAAATTAATTAATTTATATTTTATATAAAATTAAGATATATTAAAAATATAAAAGGAATTTTTAATTATTAATTACAAATCATATATGAATTTTTATTTTAAATATTAATTAAAATATAAAATATAATGAAACAATTCATAATAAAAAAATAAAATCAATTACATGTTAAAAAATTAAATTTATATGTAAATATAATTGTGATTTTATTATAATAAAAAATTATAAAATCACGTATGACTATAATTATATACATTATTAATATTAATTTATATATATTAAATATAATAATATTTTTAATATAAATAATTATTTATATTTTATAATTGATTATACAAATTTATTTAATTAGTTAAATATTCAAAAATTTTAATATTTTTAATATAAATTATTACGATATTTCAAAATTTTATAATTCAAGTATTTTATTTATAAGACTATATTAAAACATAATTACATAGTTATATATATATATATATATATATATATATATATATATATAATTTACATAAGTTTAATTCAAAATAAAATTTAAATAACTAAAAATAAAACATAATAAAAAATAAGATTATATATTAATAAAAAATTAAATATAAATTATATATATAATATAGACATATAATTATTAAATAAAATTTAAAAAATAAAAAATATAAATATAATATTATAAATTATAGATAAAGAAAATTATAAAATAAGATAATATATTTAAGGACAACATACATGATGTAATAACTTTTTATATAAAGATAAAATATTCAGATTTTACAAGATCAAGCTGAGACATATATCAAGGAGGTGCCTGACATTCTTCAAATGCAACTTGCATCCCGTATTAGTCTCTATCCAAATATCTTCAATGCCAACAATCTTGCTTACCCCTTGATTTCCCATTTTCACATGCCCAAAATCTCCAGCAATGTAGGATGTGAAATATTCATGATGAGGTGTAACATGAAATGAGGCAGAAGAATCAACAACCCATTCATACTTTTGACAAGTGAGATTAACAAATTCATCATCAATGCTAATAACAACTTCACCATCAGATACAACTGTAGTGGTGTCATTATCTCTATCTTCTCTTTTATTATTATTATTACTTTTGTCTTTATCTCTTGATCTTTCTCTCTTAAGGAGTATGTAGTCTTTGATCATATGTCCTAATTTATTGCAATGAAAACATGTGATATTTTTCCTTTCTTTTAACTTTTCTCTTGACTTTTTACGATCATAAAATCTGTGAGAATTTCTATATTGATTTCTTCCACTTGACTCCAAAAATAGAGCTTCATTTTGAGTAGAGGAGTTAACCTGACAACTTCCTTTCCTCCTAGTTTCTTCATTTAAAAGACTATCCTTGACCATGTCAAAAGTCAATTTTCTATTAAGAGCTAAATTATTCAAAGATACCACTAATGTCTCCCAATTGTCTGGTAATGAGCTATGCAACAACAATGCAAGTAGTTCATCATCCAACTCAATCTCCATGGTGATTAATTGATTTACGATATTTTAAAAATTGCTCAAGTGTTTTGCCACAGAGGAACCATCCTTTTACTTCTTCCAATCTCCTTCAGATTTATCATGCAAAATAAATCTTCCAGTCGAGATTTTCATATTGAGTAATTGGAAGAATTCAACTTAATCATAGTTTCAACACCATTATTATCTCCTATTTTAGAGCACAAACCAGAACCCCTAACCAGAGCTCTGATACCAGTTGTTAGGTCTTTCGAGGAGGATCCACTAGGGAGAATAACATTAATGAGATATGAGTCCAACCCATATAAGGGATTGACATCACTCTTAACCCAAACCCTTAAGATATTAGGTTATGGTCATATTTTCTTATATCTTGCTCAACTTTCTCATTCTTACTCAATATGAAACTTAACTCACACTTAGATTATCCAACACAAGATACATGAAACAGAGCCTGCCTTTTAGGTATCTCAGACGGATAATAGAAACTAAAACTAAAACCATGCTATTGTGGAAAGTGGGAGACAACCTCAAGAATCCTACCCCTGAACAACCACCACCACTCAAGACAACAAGTAACAAAGCAATTGTGCATATTATTGTCATTACATCCATATTTTCTCTACTTTTATGTTCAACTATTGTCATCTCCAGCCACTATGTGTTCAAGATTCAACTATTGAAGTATAAAAGATTGATGGAAACTGAGAACTTGGGCCTGAATGAAAAAGTGACTTTAAGAAGGTTTTCATACAGCGAGCTTAAAAGAGCGATAAATAATTTCAAACAAGAATTGGGAAAGGGATCTTTCAGAGCAGTATACAAGGGGGCGTTGCACAAAGGAAATGTTGTGCCCAAAGTGTGTGGGTATCCTCCAAAGTCCCACATCAGGTAGTTTGAAGAAAGGGAGTGATAGACTACTACTATAAATAAGGGGTGATAGTTTGAGCCTACTCACCACAACAATACTAGTCTTTGGGTGTATTGGGGACTTAGGTGGTTGTGTGTCAAGAGAGGGTTTGCAATTTTTCCGTGCAAAAATTGTATGAGAGGGTTTGTGTAACATCCTGATTCTCAATACCCCTGGTTTGTTAAATTTTGACAAAATCTTTGTCAAAATTTTAATAATTAAATTATTAGGAATTGGGTAAAGAAACTATAGAGTTTGATGTTTGTTAGATTATTTGTGTTTTTCTAGAATTTTTCTGGAATTTTTAGAAAATACTTAAAATTGATTCGTTTCGCGGGCAACTGGACGCCTGATAGTAATTATATGATTTAGGGTTGAAATTGAAAGAGTATGGACTTAACAATTTTAATTGTCACATTTAGAAATTATTGTTTTCTTGCATGTATTGAGTGTGGGTACATTAAAACTTTATTATGTGTGTAAATTGACAAGAAACATATGATGGTTAATATGGTTTGGAGTGATGTTGGAGTCTTAGGGGTTGTGGGTTCAAATCCTGGCTAGAGTAAAAAGAAGAAAATAATCGATAAAATTTTTGTAATATAATCCGTTGAGCGGATTATATTTGGAATCTCTCTTACTTGCGGCCTCATATCTGCTAGGCGCACGAGAAATCCGCTGAGCGAAAAATTAGGTGAAATAGGACTCAACTATTTGACTTTTAAATGAAACATTCTGCAAGTTTTTCGTAGTTCGTCGTTTCTCTCTTTCTCTTAAAACTTTTCTTACCTTCAAGCGTCATTTTGAGGGAGAAATCTTGTTTTTCTTGAGAAGCTCCAAGAGGTAAGTTGGTTTATCTCAATCTCCTCTACATTTCTACCGTTTTATTTTTCAAAACGGTGCATTTTCTATTTTTATCCTCACTTGAATAAGCTGAATGGGAGTAGGAAGAGTGTTATTGTAGGTTTTACACCTAGGATACTACAATAATGTTTAAAATTGAGGATTAGAAGTGGTTAAGCTAAAAACTTTAAGAGTCCTAATTCGTACGTACTATTAATTGAATTTTTGGGACTTGTGTGAACAGAATTAGGAATTAGTATCTTCATGAAAGTTGTAGCTCTTTAAGTTGTCGAAATTTAGAAACTGATTTCACATTAAACGGATATTTATAGCTTAAGTTATGCACATTTTACTATCAAGTGTTCTAGTTGTGACGTTAAGAGGTAGCCCTGTTTCAATAGCCTAGGTTTTTGAATTACTGAGATTGATACGTGTGAAATTAGGACTTAATTCCTTCATAAAAGTTGTAGGAAATTATATTCCCGAAATTTAGAAATTTATTTCATGTTAATATCTTATGTGTAGCAAGAGTTATAATCCAATTACCAAGGCATGTTCAGAGTGTTATTGTAGTTGAGCCTAGTTGGAAACAACCACTGAAAACTGAAAACCGCATCTATTCTATAGGGTATTTGAATTTATTTCCTTCATCAATATTGTAGGTAATTCAGTTATTGAAATTTTGACTCAAATATCATGTCAAAACAGTTTTTATAACTCTAGAAAATTTCGAAATACTGAACCTTGTCCATGGTTGTTATTAGGATTCTTTCTACTCTAAGTGCCTACAAAATAGGATAATTTCTAAGTTAATTGTAAGCTGAATGTGAGCTTAAAATAGTATTAGAAATGGATTAACAATACAAAATGAATTTAAATTCTCATGAGATAGAATCATAGAAATATAAGATTCTAACTAGCATTTTATTCCGTATATAGATTTTGTTGAAACACAACATCAAGCTTTGAAAGGAATAAGTGTGAACGTATCAGGTAAGGGGTGGACTATATAGTAAGGATTACATCATAAACTTGTTTGACCTTATTTGTTGAATTTGTCTAAATTTGTTATGATTGATAATTGTGATTTCATTATATGTTTGGTTGTGAAAGTGATAATGAATTGCTTACGTGTATGATGATGTAAAATACATGCTTGGTACTCTATTATGATATGTATGGTCTTTGAGTGAGCATTTATATGCATGGTGGTTTTTCATGAGAAAATTCATTGAAAATTAAATTGAAAGAATTGGATGATGGGTTGTGAACCCTTTTTGAACTGTATTGGAAGTTTTCTACTTGTAACAGGTGATTGGAAATTTTTGGGAAGTCTGTATTACAGGGGAAACTCTGTCAAATTTTTGGAAAAATGTGAATTTCTAAGAAAAACCATTTAGGGACTCATACATTACTCATTTGAAAATGGTGATTTGTGAAATCTGGGGAATCGGAGATTATGGACTCTGAGAATACGATAGGGAGGCCTTGAGGGAGGACTTGAGGATAGGAAGGGTAGTGGTTGGAGGCCCCAAAAGACTCAGGCTCGCTACCTGTTGTCGGGGATCCCACTGTACAAACTCTGCTATACCTGACTGTGCTCTTACCGTATATCAATGGTCAGTGAGCTACTGGGTTTATATTTGAGCATGGGTCTCAACAATCCTGTGGGTGGATTTTCCATGCCTAGTAGTGTCAACTCCTGGCTACCCCAGTACTGATTTGAGAAATGATTCGGGCCCGCATGCATAAACATTTTAGAAAACATATTAGGATCATGCATCATTAACATCAATCATTTGAAATTTGATTAACTTGTGAATGTTTATGATGTTGATTTTAAAATGATGTATGAACTGTTGCTCACTCTCTTGTCTTTCTGTTTTCTTTATTTCCTTTGTGTTTGCGGTACTCGTTGGACCTGATCGGTCATTGTTTGAAGAGAGGGGAGATGACACAGATTCCACACCCGATGAGTATGATACTCATACTCGTTAGCTGGGAGCCACAATGATGGCAACATGTATTGGGATAAACATATCTAAACTTTTATAGATAGTCGTAGTATATAGACCTACATGGTACTGAGTAGTATTCACTATTTTGTGTAGTTAGCTGCTCTGTAGGAAGTATCCCCAATGTTGCCTTAATATTTTGGAGGATTGTACTAATATTTTATCTATATGTAATTATGAATGTTTACTTTTAGTACTTTTTAAAATGATGAAATGCGGGAATGTATTATTGAAAATTTATGTATATTAATATTATGTACAAGGGAAAGATTATTATCGGTTAAAAAAAAATTTATGCTAAAAAATTATTAATTCTTCTGAGTGAGGGTTTATAAGGTAGGGTGTTACAGTTTGCAATTTTATCCTTATAAAAATTGTAAGTTGAGAAATTAAGAGTTGTTAAATGTGTTAGTGGATGTAGGCAAGAAGTGTCAAATCACGTTAATTTCTGAGTTTGTTTCTCAATCTTTTGTTTCTCTCGTGTGTGTGTTTCTACAGGTGAATATTTCTTTTCCCCTCTAGTACCTAATAGTGGTATTAGAGTTATTGGTGTGGTGGGGCTCTGTGGGATTCTTAAGTCTTAGTATGCTCTATGATTGCAGCATTATCTGATCTTCCACATAAAAAAAGAATTGATGTTCTGTCCAAGGGAGAAAGAGAAGTAGTGTGTCAGGGAAAAAGAGAATAGTGTGTTAGGGAGGAAGAGAAGCAGTATGTGGGCCAGAGCATTGCATTGCAGTGCTAGGTTTTGTCCAAAGAGGAAGAGAAGTAGTACATGGGCCAGAGTAGTGCGGTGCTAGATTCTGTCCAAAGAGGAAGAGAAGTAGTGTGTCTTAGAAGAAGAGTATATTGCTACTATTTGTCATGATGATGGATTAATGTGAGACTTTGGATAAAGGAAGGATATGTTGTACCGAAAGTGTGTTGGTATCCTCCAAAGTCCTACATCCGATAGTTTGAAGAAAGGAAGTGGTAGACTACTACTATAAATAAGGGGTGATAGTTTTGGTTTACTCACCACAACAATACTAATCTTTGGGTGTTTTGAGGACTTGGGTAGTTGTGTGTCAAAAGAAGTTTGCACTTTTTCCGTGCAAAAATTGTATGAGAGGGTTTACAATTTTGTCCTTGTAAAAATTGTAAGTTGAGAAACGAAGAGTTGTTGAGTGTTAGTAGATGTAGGTTGAGTTTGTTTCTCTATCTTTGTTTTTCTCATGTGTGTGCTTCTGTAGGTGAAGATTAGTGTTAGTAGATGTAGGCTGAGTTTGTTTTTCTATCTTTGTTTTTCTCATGTGTGTACTTTCGTAGGTGAAGATTACGAGTTGTTGAGTGTGTTAGTAGATGTAGACTAAGTTTGTTTCTCTATCTTTAATTTTTCTCGTGTGTGTGCTTCCGTAGATGAAGATTTCTTTTCCCCTCTAATACCCAACAGGAAAGAGGTTGATTGCAGTGAAGAGGCTAGAGAAGTTAGTGGAAGTACGGGAAAGGGAGTTTGATGAAAATATTCTCCCTCCTTCCACCATGGATGATGCCGAAAGCCTCACACCTTGAGCATCCAAGGTGAACCAAAATTCTTTACTAAGTTTCTAAAGAAACTTGACACTAACTCCTCCAGAAAGCCTCACACCTTGAGCATCCAAGGTGAACCAAAATTCTTTACTAAGTTTTTAAAGAAACTTGACACTAACTCCTCCAAGGAAGGTTCCTTGTTAGGAGAATAGGTGAACCAAAATTCTTTCCTAAGTCCTTAAAGAAACTTGACACTAACTCCTCCAAGAAAGGTTCCTTGTTAGAAGAATAAGAGAAAAAAAATATTCAAAGACACTAGTCAATTTGGGATAAATGCAAAATATGCAAATTTCAAGTTTTGACTTCATTCTAAATGTGATTCAAAATGTTATACAAGAGGTCATATATATAATTATTCCTCTCTCATTCACTCATTCACCTAAGGAATGTAAGATTAATTTTGTTTTATAGAAGTGATGGTCGAATTTCCTAACTTCAAGTTTCTTCTAGACCACTTTTAGTTACATTTATGAGTTTATATACCAAAAAACTCTCAAATGTTCCTATCAAAAGTTAAACCTTAAATTTTCTTGTGTTTGGAGGACTTTAGACGAATTTGAGAAGCTAAAATGAAATATTCTATTTTTCTTGTAATAAGACTTCAATCTTAACTGCAACCTCTTTAAGTTTAGGCTTTATTTAAAGTTTAGTGTGACGAGACCTAACTTGTTATGGCCTAGAAGATCTCCGGTAGAGTTCCAAGCAGAAACGAGAGTCATTGGAAAAGCACACCATAGTTATTTAGTTCGTTTGTTGGGTTTCTGTGAGGAGGGTTCTATAAGACTTCTGGTGTATGAATACATGTCCAATGGCTCCCTTGGAAACCTTATCTTTGTGGCTCAAGGTTAGAGACGTCCAGACTGGGATGAGAGAGTAAGAAGAGCGGTGGAGATTGCCAAAGGGATCATTTATCTCCATGAAGAGTGTGAGGCACCAATCATTCATTGCGACATTAAACCTCAACATTTTGATGGATGAGTTCTGGACTGCAAAAATATCCGATTTCGACTAGCAAAACTTCTCATGCCCGATCAAACTAGAACCGTGACAGTGGTCAGGGGGACAAGAGGGTATCTGGCCCCTGAATGGAACAAGAATGTCCCCATATCTGTCAAGGCTGATGTTTATAGCTACGGAATAGTGTTGGAAATTTTATGTTGCAGAAGAAGCATGGAAGTTTATGCCTCCGAACCTGAGGCGGTTCTTCTCTCCGGATGGGCTTATAAGTGTTTTATTACCGGAAAACTTAATAAGCTTTGTACTTGGGAAGTCGTGAATGATAAAACTGCAGTGGAAAGTATGGTTAAAGTGGCACTTTGGTGTATCCAAGATGAACCTTATCTGCGTCCAACAATGAAGAGTGTGGTGTTGATGTTAGAAGGGGTCACAGACATAGCAATTCCTCCTTCTCCCGCTTCTGATTCTACTTGAATTTTATCCGTCAAAGGAAATGTTGCAACGTTCACCAAATCATGTTCCTTTCACTTTACTTGTTTCTCTTCTGTTACTAAATGTTACATTACTTTCAGTTGTTAAGCTTTTGTGCTGTTAAGGTAGAAAGACAACTTGACTAAGTAATTTAATTTCCTATCTTAATTTATGTTTTTCAGCAGGTGGCTCTGTCCAATAAAGAAATGTTTGTGAATCTTTCTTGCTGGTATAAAAATGTCTTTATCTTATGGAATGATATAATAATCATTAGATTTATTTTGTTTAATGTGTCTTTTTATATATTTTATATTTTTAATATTTTTTATCTATTTTATAATATACTCTATTTTTAAATTTTGAATACATTTGTATTCAGTTTAATTGATTTTATTTACTTATTAAAAAATAAAAATGTTTGTCTCCAGCAGAGAATATATATCTTCTTTTATTTTTCGAATCAGTATCTAATATGAAATAAAGATGAATTATCATCTCATTCACAACAAACAAAATTGAATAGGTTTAATTAAATAAATATATCCAAATAATGGGGGCAAACAAACCGTTTAAAAACTAAATTTACTTGAAAAATTAATTAACAAGAGTTCAAATTACTGTGTATTTGAACATTATATTTAAAATTAATTAATAATTACTAAATATACATAAATATTATTTTATGTTTAACTATATTTTATTTATAATATATTTATATTTATCATAATATTTATATTATAATTTTTATTATATAATTATATAGTTTACTTATGAAATTGAGAAAGTATTGAAATTATAAATAAAATAATAATTATATAAAACATTGTAATTTATTTTCATATTTAATAGTTTTTTAAAAGAGAATGCTTTATAATATTTTATAAAAACAGTTTTTAGAAATTTATAATAACAAACTGCTAAAGTAATTTAAGTTTTAGAAATTACTTTAGGAAAGATTGGTATAGTTATAACGAGATTTCTAATTAATAATTCCTTAAATGTCATCTACTTTCTGGATTACATGAAGGGTTGCGTGTGGGAGACGGAAAGCAGACTTAACACGTGACCACCACGTTATAATTTGGGATCATGACTGACTTCACGTCCTCTAAAACAAACATCTTGGCTACGCTCAATATTATAAATAATATAATTAAAAATAAATTACTTAAAAATAGAATACCAGTTTATTTATTCAATTAAATTTATTTATACACAAAATTATATTCATACAACAAATTTTATAAAAATAAATAAATTACCTGATGTAATATAAATATTTTTTTCTTACTTTTTTTTCTTTTTGTTTACTTTTTTTCTTATTCTTTTTTCACTTCGTTCAATTAAAGATAATAAATTAAAAGTTAATAACATAAATCTTTTTTATTATTGAAAAAAATATTTAAATAATTCAAAAATACTATAATTAAATATATGAAGATATTATATTTTAAAAAATATTATATGATAAATTTAAGATAATACCAATATTATTATTCTTATATTATGATTATTAAGAAAAAAATTTAAATATTTATTTTAAATTTTTTTAATGAATATTAATTATTAATTTAATTAATTATCATAACTCAAAATTATTAGAATTATATATAATTATTAAATAAAAAATATATTTAATTTAAAAATATTTAATATTTATTTTATTAGATGAATAATTATTTATTGTTAAAATAAATAAAATTATTTTTTATCATCATAATTTTAAATAAATAATTAATATTTTTTTAGTTTTAATATTATTTTTAAAATATTTTTTTAATATATTTTTATTAAATTTTAATATAGTAATTCAATTAGAAGAATAAAGGAGAAAAGAGAGTAAGAAAAGATAAAAAAACAAAAAACAAAAGTGAATGAAGAGAATAAAAAAATTACGAATAGAGAAAAAAAATTATATATCATTAATAAATATGTCTATTGAGGGAAATAGATTCATATAAATTTTATTTGAGTAATTTCTTTTTAAATATATTATTCTTAGATTTATTCTCATATCTAACCCATTTTTATTAATATAATAAAAAAATTAATAAAAATAATTTAAAATTATTATTATATTAATTAAAAGAGATTATCTTAGGAGTTATTTACATTTCAGTATCAAAATATCATTTTCTTAATAAAAATAAAAAAATAAATTATTATTATAATAATATAACATACAGTTATTGATGGGTTGTTTGTGTCAACAGTAGTGTCAAAATACTTTTTCACCTGATAAAATATTGAAGTTTTCTTTCAAAAAAATTTTAAGAGAAATAGTTTCTGTGATGTAACAGGAGAAATGGAGAGACAAGGTTTAGTTGTCGATCAAAGAAAAACAAATAAAGTTGCAATTTATTCTAAAACACAAGTAACGGTTTAATGTTTCTGGACACAATTGATTGCATTAGCTAGACTACAAACTTGAAGGATGATGACTAAAAGTAACCACGGAAACCGAATGTTTTGTCTGATAAGAGAAACAACAACAACAAAAATCAATGAAAAATATTGAAGTACGCTTGACCACGTCTTGTGTATTGCATACCATGAAAAGTCCTTTCCATCATGCACCTCAAACTGGAATGATAATAATTGAACACTTCATTTTCCTTTGAAAATTCACATTTATATGAATCAATATATATCCTATTGGTGTTACCAGTCCACAAAAACAAAGCAACCATTTCTTCCACCCTCGTTTGCTTAGCTCCTTTTAAACCATGTTCAACCAATTTAGTATATCGATGATAATTTTTAGAGTTGTGTGAACGTTTATTTCATATATGTTATCCGAGTATGTTTTTATTTACCTATTCTAGGTATATATAGAATAAAAATATTAAAATTTTTTAAATATTAATAATATCTTAATCATAATTATATAAATTAAAATAATAATTTAATATATTTTTATCTTTTTTTAAAATAATAATAAAAATATCTTAATACCTAATTTAAATGAAAAATAATAAAAAACAATGTTTTTAATATTCTTTCTTACTTTAATATCTATTTATTTAAATTTGATATTCTTCTTTCTATTTTGTTTTGAATTTTTTCTTTTTTTTGTTTATATTTTTGTCATTTTCCTTCTTGGATATGATCACATCTTCCTACAATTTCACTTCCTTTATCAATTTCATTACTTTTCTTTTTTTCAAATTTTATGATAGTATCGTTGACCATGGAAAGAGTTTCTTCATTTACATATTTATTTTTTTCCTTAACATCAAGTTTCTTCAAGCAAATATCCATCATTTTTTTTTACTTTTCTTTTGTATCTTCGTTTGTAGTCAACTCTTCTTTTATCAAATATAAAGTAAAATTAAATTCTTTCATATAAATTTTGAATATTTTCAAGTTATTTGTATCTTTAATTATATAAAGTTTGTATTCAAAAGACTATTTATAATTTTTTTCCTAATAATTGAACAACACTAAACAAATTATGATTAATACCACAAATATATAAAACATCAAAAATTAATTTGATACCCAAATGACTTTTAACTACGATTATTCATGTACCTTTCACATTCATTTGTTCTCCATTACCAATTCTCACTTTAGAAATAACATATTCGTTGAGCTCTTTGAAAACTTCTTGATCATGAGTCATGTGGTTTGTACAACCATTGTCTATAAGTCTAACTTGTGGATTTGTTTATTGTAGAGCATGTTGACGTAAGGAGAAATTTTCTTTTATTCCATCCTCTATAACCTTGATGACTTCTTTTAGTTGTGATTTGCATATCTTTTCTATATGTCTCAATTGACCACATTTGTGACATTTCACACCAAGTTTCACCAACACTTGTTGTTTGGGTGATTATTTTTCTTATAATAAGGACAAACAGAAAAGACATGTGATTTGGTATCTTTATTGTTATTAGCTTGAAGAGTCATCAATCTTTGTTGTTATTGTGTTTGTAAAGCATGTAACACTTCTGTCAAAGTAATATTTGACAATTTTTTTGTGTTTTCCAATGAAGCAATAGATGTTTCATATCTCTGACACAGTTACTAGAATTTTCTCAACTATTCTGGAATCAGGAAACTCCTTACCTAACAGTTTTATCTTATTAGCAATACCCAACAATTTATTTGAGTATTCATTAATTATTTCAGACATTTGTATCATTTGTATCTCAAATTCCTTTATCAAGTTTAGAAGTTTCATACCTCGAATTTTCTCACCCCTTTCATATTGATCTTTTAAATAATCTCAAATTTCTTTGGGTGATATTGATCTTTCAAATAATCTCAAATTTCTTTGGATGACTTTAGTGTCATAATTTTGGTGAGGATCATTTGTAATTTAGCTTGTGTTCCTCGTTTTTCGTTTTCTATGAAATTTCATTTGAACTATGGTGGGATTTTTTTGGCAACGGATCAACCATGCAATCTTCTTCCACAACTTCTCATACTTAATCCTTCAAGATAGGATTGTATTCTAATAGTCCATAAGTCATAACTTTTGTCATAAAAATTGGAACAACGACTTATGAAAAACTTCTTTCTTTTTTTATTGTGTTGAAAGAACCAAAACTCTGATCCACTCATAAATTTTTTTAAAATTTTATGTATGTGTATTTCAAATATGTCATCTGGTATGTTTTAATTCATGTACTTTATATATATATATATATATATATATATATATATATATATATATATTAAAAATATTACAAAATATTAAATAATAATATTTCAATCATAATTATCTAAATTAAAATAATAATTTAATATTTTTTATCTTCTTTTTTAAAAAATAATAAAAAATTTATCTAATTTAAATAAAAAATAATAAAATAATATTAACACATTTTTCATAATAATGATTTATATAACCACTACAAGAAATACTCGAAATACCGACTGTCACTGATACTCCAACAACTAAGTTACTAGAATTTTTTGATAATAATTTACAAATAAATTATATTTATATACAAATAAATATCTATTCATGTAAATATATATTTATATATATATAT